TTCTAACAACCGGTTCTCCAAACTGCTTAGAATGTTAACAACCGGTTCTAGTGAATAGGTGCGAACTAGTAGAATCCCACCCCTGGCAGTAACCATATATAAAATAATATTTCATGGCTGTTTTCTAACTGACTATCCATTAATCCCGGCAAGAAAAGTTCTGATTTCATTTGAATGTTGATCTTTAAAATTCTTTTATCATTTTTATCATAGTCTCTGACTTCTTTTTTCATTTCCAATTTCAATAAAAGCTTATGCATGTTAGCAATTACATGTCCATTGTTTGTATATGGCTCAACTTCAAATTCTGTCTTCTGCTCAGTTCAAAATGTCCTATTATCTATCTTAAACTTTTCTCTTAACTGTACATTCAAAAATCATTGTAAACTATATCGCTCTGCAGCCAGTTGTTCTCTTGATTTAATATTCTATCCTTCCTATTCCTATTCTTCATATTTAATTTTTTATGTAACATTAATTCTTTTAGTTTGCAGTCCTGTGCCATTATAGAAACTAAACTTTACTAAGAGTGGTTGGAATTCTGAGAAATTGGGCAAAAGACTGAACCATTTGTTGATCTTTTATCAGTAGCCAAGTCCTACCTCGTATAATAGAGAGATGCAACATCTATTTATTAAATAAACTAAGGAATCACATTTTTGGCTGACAAAATATCTATATTATTAAAACATTTTACTGAAACCAAGAAACACTTGGGAAATGCATGCTCATGGAAATAGAGAGAGCTAGCAATTGCACCAGTAAATTAGCCCCCTTGAAGCAAATGGGGAAAAAAAGAATTATGGCATTACATTGGAAACCAGCTCCATACTTTGAATGATCTATTCTACCAGCCATTGATAGATTTTTTCAGAGAAATGCATAGAACCAAAGCTAAAGGTTGAATAGTAATCTACTAGTTTTATCTTCTGAGATGATACAGTCAAATATGCCTACAACCATTTTAAAATGGTATCTCTAAACCAGTATCTGCCAAGAAGGATGTTACTGCTAATATGTAGGCTGCAATTCTGTATCCCATTTCCCAGATAAGAACATGTTCTCTGTAAAATGCATGAAAATAAAGCAATTGTTGTAACACATTTCTCTAACATGATGCCATTTCAATGTACTGTACCACTTCAATTCCCACAATCCCTAGATATAATTGACAATGACCAATCCCAGATTGCCAACTTGCTTTACGTTGTATATCAGCCTTTAGGGTCAACCCTAAATAGTAAGATGGGTAATATATACATTTATTTTATTTTATTTTTTAAAAAAAACATTCTTGGTTTTTGCTGACTCCAATAAGAAGCCAGCAGTGCAGAATTGGCTACTGCAACTTGCAAAAATTTGAACCCCACCAAAATACAAGTTAACAGTCAGGAGGCCAGTTCTTTTAAAAGACCCATTAATATTGGAAATTGGTATTTGTTCTACAACATGTTTGATTCAGTACTTTTTGCACAGAAGGAGCAGCAATGCAACTGTATAGCACAGCTGGCTTCTTTTTGGGAAACAATTTCTTTTTTCCACTGCAGGCTGCTGGTCCTCGCCTTGCACTAGCACAGCCTTCCTCAGCCTGGCACTTTCCAGATTTAAGGAGACTGCAAGTGTCTAGGAATGCTGGGATTTGCAGTCCTTAATATCTTTGGAATGTGTGCGTGTGTGTGTGTGTGTGTGTGTGTGTGTGCCAAGTTGAGAAAAACTGAGCTTGTTTGTCATTTGCAGGGGCCAATTGGGATGGCTGATGGCCATGAAAACACGCTTGATTCTTTTCAAATACACAAGATGAGGTATGCTGTCTCAATAAATTCTGCAGTGCTTTTCATCTATTAATAGCAAACCATTTATTTTGGCAATGGGTAGTTTTTAAGCAACTAAGAGCAGAGCCAAATTGACTGGCTGCTGTGGAAACTGAAGATCTCTTGTTTCTCCAAAGAATAGTGCAAGACATGAATAGAAGGCCTACAGACTCCCCTGTGCTGCCTCCAGCCCCATCCATCATCATCTGACTTTGAGTTTGAGTTGAATTAACCACATCCTAGAAATGAGGATAAGTTGGCATCTTTGCTTATATAATGGAGATTGTTTCCTCCAACTTTGGGAACTTTCAGTTCTTTTAAAGCGGCTGGGAAGGGAAATACCATAATGGCTAGGTTGGCTAGATATGAAGCAATTAGAACACTGGATCTATAGGACCTCAGACTACTGTCTTACAACTCCCCAAGGAAGTAAACCCAGAGGTTGCCTGGATTTCTTAAGCATCAAGGGAAAAGAACCGTAAGAACTATGAACTTCTGTCCAAATATATATAGCTTGAATATAACACAAACATAATGAGGTGAGAACACTTCTGTTCGTTCTCTATGTCTTGCATCCCCTGGAACTAATGGATCAGTGTAGTTTTAAATGCTTTCACCAATCCTTTCTCCCAATCGGATGGTACTGATCGGGGATGGGATTCCATTTTTTTTCTACTACCGGTTTTGTGCATGTGGCTTAATGGCCGTGGCAAGGGAAGGATACTGTAAAATCTCTATCCCCACCCCACTCCTGGGGGAAGGATACTGCAAAAATCTGATTCCCTCCCCACCCCACCCCACTAACTTGGTTTCCAGCTCCGTTGTCCTGTGCAGGGCAACCAAAGAAGACCCAGATGATCAACTGGGACTCGGGAGGCAGTGAATAGATGAGGCGGGGCCAGTCAGGTTGTATTTGTTGGTTCTCCGAACTACTCAAAGTTTCCGCTACCGGTTCTCCAGAACTGGTCAGAACCTGCTGAATACCACCTCTGGTATTGATTAAGCTGATCCTAATGATTTAATTTATTTATTGATATCCACCATCTTTCTGCTCATAGGACACTCAGGATGACCTGTTGCATTCAGGAGAGCAACTCCTCTCTTTGGAGGCCCATCCAATCCAAAACTTTAAACCAGAGCAGAATTTTGATATTGAACAGAACCAGAGCATATCTATGTGGGATCACCTGTAGAGGAATTTAGCTCTGGCCTTGAGGAAGAGGTGGGAGAGAGGAAACAGCTGCCCAGTTCTGGGAAAGTAGAGATTGTGAGAAAGAGAGTCAGACTGCTTTGACTTTATTGTCCTTGAAAAGGGCAGTAAAAGTTTTGGGCACCCTTTCGAGAGAACAATAAAGCAGGATTCCTGGGATGGATCCCTGTAGTGTCTCTTTCTTGACCTGGCCTACTCAAAGGGCTGCCATAACCTGAACAGTTGTACTGGAAGCCGCTCATTCCCATTATAATAAGCTAATTATTAAATTATAAATGTTTCTCCAGGCTTTGCAGTTTTTAGGTATGTTTTTGCTCACTTTTCCTTTTGATGCTAGGGGAAAATGAAGGAAAGGAATTGACATGTTGATGTCCTACTCTATCTAATTTATCTTTTCCTTGGATTGTACTTTGAGAAATCTGTTTTTAACATTGCACTTGAAAAAGTTTGGCAGAGTGCTGATTGATATAAGGCCAATTCAACACAAAACAAAACAAAACCCCATCTCTTCTTCTCTGGCCCACCTCTTCAACTTTAAACAAAAGTTTAAAAGCTTGGTGTTTTAAAGAATTCAATGAACAAATGTTTCACAAATATTTAATTGGGTAATCATTCAAGTCTTTGAAAAAAGAAGTATTTTAAAAGCAGATACTGTAGCCAGTTTGAAGCTTGAGATGAATTGTAAGGAAAAGAGAAAGAGCAAGCATGTGCCTGCAAAACTGAATAAGAGTTTGGTCTACAATGGAATAAAATACAGTGAATAAATGTACCTTCTCTCTCTCTCTCTCTCTCTCTCTCTCTTCTCCTCCTCCTCCTCCTCTTCTCCCTCCCTCTCTCTCCCTCCCCCTCTTTTTCCCGCTCTCTCTCCCTCCACCACCTCCCTCCTTCCCTCCCTCCCTCTCTCTTCTCTCCCTCTCCCTCCCTTCCTCCCTCGACTTATTATCACAACTGAGCCCAAAATTTCTATTGATAAGCAAGTTTTGCCCCATTTTATGACCTTTCCTGCCACAGTTGTTAAGTGAATCACTGCAGTGGTTAAGACAGTGGCATGGCTGTTAAGTGAATCTGGCTTCCCCATTGACTTCGCTTGTGTCAGAGGTTTGCAAAAGTGATCACATGGTCCCTGGACACTCCAACCATCATAAATACACGCCAGTTGTTAAGCACCTGAATTTTGATCACATGACCATGGGAATGCTGAAATGGTTGTAAGTGTGAAAAATGGTCATAAGTCACTTTTTTCAGTGCCTTTGTAACTTTGAACACTTACTAAACACATGGTTGTAAATTGAGGACCTACAGTATGTGTATAACCTGTATGTTCTCTATGTTTTCAGAGCAATGGATATCCATTCAGGGGGATGTTCAATAAGATTTGCTGCTAGGTAAATAGAATGGCAGCTTTTGTGTGATGAGAAACAAACTGTAATTTACAAATGCAAAAATGTGATGAGATATTTCCCCCACTCCTTAGCCTCCTGTTCCATATTGGCCATGCAAAGTGAGCCAAATGCTACTTTAACTCAGTAATTAAGAGTGCCGGTGTGATGTGGTTGTTAAGATATTGGACTTGGAATGGAGCGACACAATTTCTGGTCCGCCCTAAGCCATGGAAGCTTACAAGTGACTTTAGGTTAGTTTCTGTCAAACTGATTTACGTCACATAATTGTAACAGTAAGAGGGAAATGGGAGGAGGCAACCATAGGTATGCCTCCTTGATCACAAAGATGCCAAAAGATAGGGTATAAATGTAATCAGTTAATAATCCTTTTGGGCAATGGAGTAATTTTCTATTTGTTATTTGATTTGTATGTAGAGATCATTTATGTTTAGAAGCTGTCCCCCTCCCCCTTAGTATAGTTTATATATCCTGTAACTGGAGTATTTTTTTAAAAAAATCATAAACATGTAATATGAAGCTCAGGAAAACCGCTCATGTATTCTGTTCTGTTCTGTGCTTTTTTTTTTTTTTAACCAGTTTGCAGTCTATGAAAACAGCCCTCTTATGCCATAGCCACTAAGTTTACTCAGGAGCCTTTGATGAGGAGCTGTGTCAAAGACTTTTTGGAATTCCAGGTATGTAGTATGAATATTTATTTATTTATTTATTCATTCATTCATTCAATTCCTATAGCCTCCCAGCTCCTATCTTACAATTTCAAAGCTATAAAATGAACATGCCTCAGGGCTGTTGGTTTGAGCTCTGAGCTTGGTGATTTGGTTGCAAACGTTTCATCACCATTTGAGGAGACATTGTCAGTGCTCTTTGAATTGTGTTCATCTGTCCAAGCGTTGGTATTGGACAGACGAGCACAGTTCAAAGTGCACTAATGATATCTCCTCAAATGGTGACAAAATGTTTGCAACCAAATCGTCAAGCTCGGAGCTAAAACCAACAGCACAGCTACTGAGTTACTAATATTCAAGTACATTTCAAACACAAACATTCAATTGGTCCATGTTCCGATTGATACTCAAAAGCATTCTAGAAAGTTGGTGAGGTGGATTTACCTTTGCAATAATGTTTTTCTTCAAGCAAGGTTTGTTCCTCTGTAGGCTTAGTTTTGTTTTGTTTTGCCTTTGTTTGGTTTTTTTAAAAAATTATTACCATTTCTACCAATTATCCTGGAGCAGATATATCTGTTTCCTCAGTTTGCTTTAGTTTTTCCAATTCACTCTAAGATAAATTACTGTAAGTACTGTACAAGCTCAGGTATCTGTCCAGTATCTTCTGCAGTAAAAACAAACACCAAAAGTTCATTCAGTTTCTCTGTAATCTGCACAAAATCTTTGAACCTCCCCTTTATTCCTTTGTTGTCCTTTGCTTCCTTGAATGATTTTTTTCCTTCAGCTATTTTTTAGGTGCTCTTAATGCTTTTTGCCATATATTCCTCAAATTATTTTATATTCGGTATTATTAATTTATACTTTTTACCAGAGTTTCTGCTCCTCTGTGTTCTCCCTAGGGCAGATTTCCAGTTTCCTGAAAGAAGTCTTAAATTTTTATAGCTTCCTGGATGTGATTAGAAAGCCATGGTGCCCTCTTTCTTCCTAAGCTTGGCTGAGCCTTTCTTGCATTGTGGAATACTTTCTATTTGAGTTTCCATTATTGTGATTTTAAATTATCTCAGGCATTAGTAAGAGATCTGACTTTTTCTCTTTGTTCCTCTTTTTTTAAAACCAATTCCTTCGTTTTTAAAACATTTTCTCTTTTGTTGTTAAAAAAAAATTATGCTGGATCCTGCTTGTAGTTTCCTAGCACATGTAATGTTTCACAACACTTCTCTTTTGCATCAGATTATGGTTATTATTTAGGATTAAACCGAGGGTGGTTTCCTGTCTGGTTAGTTCACAGAAACAGGTTCTAAGAAATGGTTGCTTGTGTCCACAAGAGCAGATATTCTGTGAATAGGCAAGGCTCTACTTTAAATAACCATTTGTAACAGCACATATACCTGGCATGTAAAATTCCAGATGGGCCAATTACCCACAGTGAGTGAGTATTACATGTGGAAGTTTTTCTTGTTCAAGATTCCTGCTACTTTGATCTTGCCAACTTTCCACTTTTCTCCTTCATCCATCAATCAGTAGGTCTACTGACCATATATCATATAGTTTCATACAGTTTCTTAAACTGTTGATACCTTATTTAATATGCCTTTGTATAGTTGCAGTACCTTTTTGATTATAAAAGAACCAGTACTAAGAAAGTGCTATGATAGCAATGAGTTTGGGGGTTATGGACACTTGCATAACTTAATATTTCTCTGAGTAAGTTCTGTTGGTGTGAGTACTGAAAGGCTTAACGCCAGATAGAAGGGAGTTAATATTGACAATATTCTGATATGTTTTTGTGGGAGGCAAAATATTCTAAGAAGAGATGATGGGCAGAGAAATTCATCTTTTTTCCCCTTCTCTTTACTAATCAAGGGAATGGTGAAAGTGAAGCCTGTATCAATTTGGGAGGTTGGAATGCAGGAATTCTGTGACACTTTAAAGAAATCCCAAGAAATCTTTGAGGAGCTGGAATCTGATGGATTACTAGTCTTATGTTCAAGAGTGTGTGTGTGTGTGTGTGTGTGTGTGTGTGTTATATTAACATCATCTTATGCACATACATGCTAGTCATTTTCAGCTCTAGGGGGCAGTGCTCATCTCCATTACAAAGCCGAAGAGCCAGCGCTGTACGAAGATGTCTCCATGGTCATGGTTGGCATGACTAACTGCTGAAGGTGCACGGAACGCTGTTATCTTCCCACCAAGGTGGTCCCTATTTTTCTACTTGCATTTTTACATACTTTTGAATGCTAGGTTGGCAGAAGCTGGGACAAGTAATGGGAGCTCACTCCATTATGCGATGCTGGGGATTCGAACTGCTGACAAGCTCAGCATCTTAGCCACTGAGCCACCATGTCCCTTAACACATCATCTTAAGAACCCCCAAATGACACCCATACTCTCTAACACACATATATTCTCTAACACATTTCTTGTCATATACCAGATTTCTTGCCCTAGGTAAACCCGTACTTAGGTTTACTTTTTTTGTTTTCTAATTTAAAACATTAGAAGTTAGCATGTTCTAAAGCAGACCATCAACTGCAAGCACACCCTGTATTCTCAGTGGAGATCTGGGCTGCACATAGTACCCAGAAGCATTCTTTAAAAAAAATTAAAACAATGAATAGCTGAAGTCCAGGGCTTTACTTGTATTGTAGTCTTTTTTTTCTTTTTTTTGTTAGAAGGCTTATAATGTGCTAACAAAATATCAAATGTATTCTCTGGCTCCAAATTGTTGAGGAATTAGTAGTGAAACTGAAACATAAGAACAAATCTGACTTTTGCAAAAAGAGCCTCGAAAATAGAATGTTTCTATTTTTGTTTGATGTGTTTTAGAACTTGCATTGTTTTAGAAAGTTACACTGCTTTCTTTCACTATTATGGTTAAATGCATATGTGTGAGTAGGTAGAACACACACACACACGCGCACGCATACAAATTTTTCAATGTTCCCTCTCAGAATTATCACCCACCTCTAATATTTCTTGTAGTTCATTTTTTGCTAATCCTACTTTTAGGGAACAGAACTATTCCATTTTTATTTCCTGGGGGAAACTCTTCTTTTAAATAATTGTCTAGTGTATCTTTTTGTAGAAATATTAAGTGATGTTATAATGTTTTTCAACCAGTTTGCATTTGCTTTGTTGCTACAGTAGTCAGAAGGGAACTGTATACTTGTGAAAACATTTTCACCTCCATATTATCTGAGTTGTTTGACAAACATGTTAAAGCATGCATGCTCATTTTAGTCAGATCTCCTGGACACAATCAGAGCAGCAGACTGATCCGTAGGCTACAAGGAGCTACAGTACTTTGATTGGCATGTTGCCCACCATTGCAGTTCCAAAGGAGAATTACATGAGAAACAATTAAGACTCATAGAACACTTTAAATATGAATCTTTTTGTAGGTGTCTCTATTTAAATATATGTGTTTATGAGGTGTGCATTTGAAAGCAGCTGTGGTAATTTAAAGTAGATGCTTTTTCTGATTTCAAAATATAATCTAAAGCCAAACCAAGATTTTTGTCTAAACGTCAGCTTGCCCTTTCTTGTCTGCTAGCAAACTTGTAAACAGTAGCTCTTTGACTTACAGCTGGTTGTTTAATGATTCTTTGCCTTAGAATGAGTGCTTTACAGAATTAAAGGGCTTCCTGATATTGTAAAATGTTGTACGCCCCCCTCATCACATGACTGCGTTTTGGCAATCTTTTCACATTTACAAGTGTAAAGTGGGAACCCGTCAGTTCTGGTCCCACCTTATCCACAAAAGCCAGCTGGGTGACTTTGGGCCAGTCACTCGTTCTCAACCCAACCCACCTCACAGGGTTGTTGTTGTTGGGAAAATCGGAAGAGGAAGGTGCGTTGGATATATTCACCACCTTGAGTTATTTGTAAAAATAATAAAGGTGGCATATTAAATCAATTATCAATCAGTTAATGTTGCCTACAATGGGAACAAAATGCTGAAGCTACTAAATCTTTTCAACAGGGAGCTTTCTATGTTCTCGTACGAAAAATAATTGTATGTAATTCTTGTGATCTGCTGCATAGAGCACCCAGGAAAATCGGCATTATCAAATGGAACCAAATGTATTTCGAAAATTGTATAACATTAAAGGAAAGGAAACATTTAAGCCTCTCCATCTTTATTTTGCATTCTAGGCTTCTGCGTATGAATTTGGCTACCAACCAATTTCATTCTGAACAAAGCGCCAATAATTTGTTCCGCATGATTAGCATCTGCAAAACCCTGTCCAGAGCATGGGTGTGTGCAGGGTTTTTGAAGCCCAAATCTGCCCTTGGTCTTTATCTGCAACCCTAACCCTAACTAAAATAGGATAGCCTTGACAAAAATTATGTTAAATATAATTGCAATTGTTAAGTTTGGGAAAAGAGAGGCTGAACCAGAGCATGAGTGCAACAATACTTTATTATAACAATAAAGGGCTGACTGTGCTTGCCA